CATTATTGCGCTTTGCAAAGGATGTTGAGTGAAATGGCCTTATCTGGCGATTCTTGGTTTGAAACTGCCAATTATCTGAAGGATAAGGTGGTTTGTTACACAAAAGAGTGACTTCACTGTCCGGCTGTAGCCGGGGGGCAATTTGGTCAGAGTTGTGAGAAATATGGTCAGTTGTTGGCGGTAGTGGTTAATGTTCACTAAATAATTTTGACTTGTTAAAGTTGGTGCACACATTGCACCAGGGATATGCTGATGTACTTGCAGTTGGAATATCGGTCGTTCTAGACCTAGAAAAAGTATGACGCGGAAACACTTTCGGTTGATCTCCTGATATCACCTCTGGTGCGTAAAAGACAAAATATTGGCTTTTGAGACGAAAATATTTTTATGTGAGTTCATAGGCTCATTATGGCTTGAGTGAGTCTCAGTGAAGAAACAGTTGCGGGTAGGGCTTTCAGTGAATGGAGCTGGATTATTGAACTTTCCGTTCATAGCGGCCTTATTTATGTCAGCACCACGGTGTTTCGTTGGCGAGGTAACATTTGAACTTTAGAGATCAAGATCGACTGAGCCTACTGTCGCCTGACTATTTATCCGTATGGAATAACAAAACCTTGAGGCAATGGGTGAGTCAACTGGACTTATGCCTATTTTTTAGTCTATTCGCTCACTCGTGAGATCGATAACAAACTTATTTTCAGTGTTATTGAGTGGGAATTCCGACTGAAATTTGCGAATGCGACGTTAGCAAGGTGTTAAATCCTCAGTAACCTTGAGACTTCTATAGGAAGTATGAGCTCTAATAGATTTGTTAAATTTTAGGAAGAGTTTAGCATGCCTTATGCAATTAGACTTGAAAAGATGTGGACAAGTGTTGAGATTTGATATCTTTCTTAATCTGACAACATGACATTCGACCAATTGAATGCAGCATGCTTGCAGATATAGGTCTTTAGCGTCACACACTTCCCCAAAATCAGTGGCCTAGGGTTTTGACGAAATTCGACGTTGATGCTGACCTTGATAGTTTAACTGAACTCGGCAAGCTGAAGGCACCCTGTCAAGCACCCTCCCCATTTGGCACGCCGTCGTGTCACGTTACACCGCTCATATTCTACTTTCTAGCCGGTTAGTTGGAACGCATCGGTATCTTGGCACAACCATCCAGATATACTGTTCCATCCGACTACGCTATCGTGTTCTTCCTTGGTCTCGCACTCGTGGGTGTATAACAAGTCCGAATAATTAGTGATTGGTCTTTGCATCTGTCAAGTTCGCACCAGGGCAAATCCTAAAGGTCTTTCAAGTGTACAGGGATATGGTCGGGAAGATTATGCACTAAAGTATTATAAGACGACACAATTCTTTTGGTGGCTTCCTCTGCTACGAACTGGATTGAACGTTCTCATAGCTAGCGTTAGTGATCCTCATTTCAAGTCACCTACGCCTTTTTCGACTTCCGCAAGTATTGGGGGGCCACCTCAGGGTTTCGCAGGAGAGCGAGCAACACGATTGTAGTTGGAAGACAGTTAGACGGGTCCTGGAAGTGTTCTGTCCATCTTTACAGTCGTCTCCCCTGTGAGTGAATCTCAGATCCGTCCTTCTCCGCAACGGCCCCACTAACCGTTGTTGACCTTCCCCCACCCAGTCTCCTTAATAAGTCCAAATAACTTTACTGTTACCAATCACCGCTACCTTTTCCACCTCTTTAACCTTCGCTGCCCACCACTGTTCGCGGTCATTGTGTGGACTTTTTCTCAATCAACTTCTAAGTTGCGCTCGCTCTTCATTGTACTCAGAGCCCGAAGGCAGGGATGCGTTCACGTGCATCCATTAGTTCGAAAGAAGCCGCTGATATCCACTGGCTCTTTTTACTCACTCTTTCGGAGTCGGCTACAGTCTTCAGAGCTGCTTTTACACCAGACTGAAGATGGCACCAAGCTCCTTCTGGACGAGTGATAGTCTTCTGTTCCGATAATTCCCTAGCCAACTTCTCATTGAACACGGCTTTGGTGTTTTCGTTGTCCAGCAATACTCGTGGTGGTTTTGTTGTCAAATTTTTTCTACGTCCATTGAGACGCAGACATATACGTGTTCGGACCAACGCATCATCGCTATCCAAGTACGTACTCCACCGATCCTCTCTAGCGATGACTAATTGCAATATGGTCTATCTGTGTCCATCGCTGAGTTGAGCTCGGTTGATGCCACACCATACAGTGTCTTTCTTTGTGTCCTAAGTTTGTGCTAGCTAGAAATAGGCGGTTATCTGAGCATAGTTGTAATAGGCGATCACCGTTATCTGTACATTCAACAAGGATTCCGAAAGTGCCACCTCTCAGTGCCTCACTCAGTCTACCCACCTGTGTATTAAAGTCACCTGCAACAACCACCACGTCCGAACATTTGGCTTTCGAGAGGAGGCTAGACAGTTTTCGACAGAACTCGTCCTTCACTTCATCCAAGCTGTAGTCAGTGAGTGCGTAAGCAGAGAGTTTCACCGTTCCTTTTAGATCTCCACGTGCCGTTAGGACGGATAGTGCAGAGGCGCCTGAAAACTCGAATCCAGTCCAAAGGTGAGTTTTCTGTCCTGTTGCTTAACCCTATGCTCACATATGCGGGACCGTGAGAGCTAGCTATCGAACCCCTAGAAACTCGAAGGGTGAATTTTGCGAATTCATCGGACTGGTCGGGAGAGGTAGGGTGAGTAACATCACTTGAGCCGTGTATGCGGGTCTCACAAACGCAGCACACATCCATGGTCTGAGTTGCTAGTCTTTGCCAACGAAGCCTGTTGACCAGTTTGACGGAAGAGGCCACGATGTGTAACTTGGGGCATAGTTTAATGAGACCAGGGATGCTGTTCTTAGCATTCACATCGTTGTAGAAGGCTGCAGAGCTAGGAGAGATTGAAGATGATATAGTTGAGGGATATGTAGGAAGATTAGAAAGTAGTGATGGGGAGGTGTATAGGAGTCTGAAGAAACCTAAGTGCTGACCGAGTTGTGAGGGTGGTTGACACTTCACGTTTGCCCACACCGTGGAAGGCCATTTCTTCTTAAGATACCTGGGAGAGATTTGTGTGATCGCAGAGCCCGTTGGACATTAGCTTGGAGCCCATCACAAACATCCTTTGGGTATGATTATTTTAAGCTTTTGTCATTTTGGGGCCGGATGGTCGGAAAAGAAACGACAAATAAACCAACACTGACTGCCCGGCAGACCACTGGAGATGGCGGAGTGTGTTATTTTTAAGGCCGATCTTTTCTAACCCCTCCTTCCTTCAACCGAGAAGGCGGCACCAGCGTGGCACTGCTGGTCATCCGAGCGAAACAGCTTACTGCTGTCACACTCCATCCAGCTAGTAGCAGTACGGCGTTGCCCACAGACCCCCATCATAGTGTAGTAATTAACACGAAGACGGTAATCGTCTTGCGTCTAACCACCATACAGCAGACCTTTCTGGTATGGTAGGACGTCGACGGAACAACTGTTTCACCAGTATATCTCACTAGGTCACTATGATATGCAAGCCCGACCACCAAGTCAAGGTAGAAGCTGTCGGTCGGGTCACAGTGATAATAATAATAATAATAATAATAATAATAATAATAATGATAATAACGATAGCAATAATAATAACGGTGAAAAGAGTGATGAGGGGTAACAGATATATGTCTGCTTGAATTCTCTTAGCACTGATAACCATAACTAGACGATGCTATAATCCACCACTGGTTGATAAAAGCTCTTCAACTGTTGTAAACACCACTGAATAAATAGCCTATTGTACACATTGATATAACATGAGTGTTTATGGTTGCAGTGATTCATTGTGTCGCTGTGTCAGGTCAGAGACATACGGTGTTGGGATAAGTAGTAGGTTTGATGGTACGAAGTGGTTTACTAGGGAAAGTTCTATTCCATCACCATTCTTGCAATGAATTTTCTGGTGAGCTTCTAATAACAGAACTACATCATTTGATATTCACTATAACATGTAGAATGTGAAGGGAGAGATTTATGCAGGATAATGCACAAAAATCTAGTCACCTGAGATGTACTTTATAAAGTCACCTCAGTTGAACAGTCAGAGATGTTTTACGATTGTGTCCACAGCGTGCACCGACAGAAATTGTATCACTTGTGAAATGTGAACATGAGAACATCATTCAGCACTGGTGTTATTTTGAAGTGTGTTGCGTTGTGACTCTGGAACTTTCTCCATACAATTTTTTTCGTTGTATCTGTAGATCTATTAGTTGAATGGTCATTGAATGTGATTGTACAAAATCAACAAAGCGTAGATCAACTACATTCTGATTGATGCTGGTGTTTGACAGTAAGCCACCAGTTCAGCCAGTCTGTCGAATCCTGGAAGTCGTCACCGATGTTGAGTGAATGTGAAGACGTTTTGTAAAGCAGGAAAGTAGGGCATGATGAACCGAGTTGAATTAGTAAATCTTCTCTGGTCTCATGCTACTGCCAACGCTTGAGGGTCCCAACGTTTGCATGAGCCATTCCTTTCATTTCAATTCTTGAAGTTGTCCATTCGAGCATAGTCGTGGAGAGGAAGAAGGCAGAAGTAACGACACGAATTGTGGCTACCATAGTGTAGCTGTCCCTGTATGTACGACAGCAGAATGCATTTCTTATGCCTATAAATCCATATGAATTGCTGCCAGCTTGTTGCATTTTCCAAAATGTCTGACGACGAATTTATACCAAATGAAGTACACTGGATACGCAGCTATCAAAAGGCATTAGAAATCGAGCCAAAGTTGTTCAGGTGAGGTACGGCCACAACATGACTACAAGCAAACCAAAGTTTTATGCAGAACAACATTTTCCATATGCTCATCTTCTATTGTATTTGCAAATAGATTTAGGATGATGATTTGGAAGAGGATGCTAGGCAGTGGGCGAAAAAGTGTCACAACTACACTGAGATATACGATGGATTACCTGTTGGCAAGTGGAAATCAGTTGGTAAGAATATAATGATAGTAGTAGAGAAATCCTAGTGAGTGAACATGTGAATGTTTACTCTAATCTCTGACATTTTCAGTGCCGTCACTGAATGGATGAAACAGGCGAAAAATTACAATCATTCAACAAATCGTTGCTTAACAGGAAATTCCTGTGACAGCTACAAGCGGGTAGGTAAACTTATCAATTCCTAGTGTGAATATCTGTCATAAAGTGAATCACTTTAATTACTCTCATCTACTTGCTTTCAGGTTATCAGCGACCAGACTACACACATAGGATGCGCATATCACAAATGTGAAAACTTTGGACCATGGGAGAACAACTTGGTAGTGTGCAACTACGCACCCAGGTGAGTCTTCACTTGTGAACACGACATGCTGACAACCCGTTGAGTTGTGAGATGGCACACCATTTCATTGCCAGTCATACCTGCAACTCGAGTACCACTGAAGTCTTGGTGTCTTCACTGCTGGCTGTCATGCTTCAGTAGTCTCCGATTCATGTTGTCCAGAGGTTACTCACTGGATAACATGTTCCTCGTGTGTCTGCACATAATGTGTGTGAGGCAGAGTTTCGTGGAGCGCAGTCTCCATTCGCAAATGGCATGCTCGACATCACATCAAACCACACACAACTGATTGTGATGGAGTCGATTTTGATGGAGTGTGATTCTGTGGATACACATTCCACTGATTACTACTGATCATAATGTGTGTGTGTGTGTGTGTGTGTTTGCAATGTGCATATGCGCTGCTTATACACAACTGTGTCATGTCACCAAAAACTCGTCGAGTGTGTGACTATATCAGACCACACGATGAAATCTACAGGTAGTAATGTTTGTTAATTTTCGTGGAACGAGAGTAGAATGTTTGCAGGATGCGGACAGATTTGAATGACATGAAATGCATTCAGTCGACAATATTCCGTCTGCACTTGACTGCATATCAACCCGTCATATGGAATGGTGTACAGGCGTGCTGTTGTGTGGTTTATATGAGTGTCTTGTGTGAGTTGGCCAGGTGAACAGTCAGCGCCGATCAAGAGAAGCATAAGGAAATCTTGAGTCTGTGAAAGGTGAGAGAATGGGGAATGAGAAAATGTCGGAATGTTCCTCCCAAATCCACGTATCCAGTCAGTCCAATGGACTGAGAAGGATGTGTCCAGTGGATTGTGGTGGGTAGTTGAATGGTTGGCGACACAGTAGACTATTGCAAGTAACAAATGCATCTCTGTTTTCTGGTGCACACCATTCACATACGACCTGCTGTTGAACGAGAGATGAGCTCGGTCACTCAGCGTCTGGATGTTTGAGTAGACTGATTGTCAGTGACACTGAACAAGGTGGTCTGTCAATGATGAAGCACTCATCACACGAGTAACTGTCTGCACATGGAGATATCGAGTCATTGAGAAAGTGGTGTATGTGAGCTGTGGCACAATGACAACACACATTACCGTGTGACACTCATGAGGCAGATAAATCGACTCGTATGTTATTGGGTGTCACAATTCCACACCTACACATTCTGATCCATTGTGAAATCGCATATCATCCTGTTACAATTCGCCTTGTAAACATACCAGATTGAACGCTACACAGCTTCACAGTCTCCAGTTCCTCAGTGTGTCCAGTGACACGATTGTGTTGTCAAACGACTCTCATCTACCTTATGGAGTAACAGAATTCATTGGGTGAGTTTAATCAACTGCTTCATAAACCAGTTGACTATGCATATCCGAATTCAAATATTGAAATATCTCACGTTTTATCTTCTGCAGCTTGATATGTGGAAGACCCTACACTGATGGGACAAATGGCAGATGCAAGGAGAAATCAAGACACTGATTAATGACAGGATTCACCACATACATTCTGCATGTTGCACATCGACTGATTGCTAGTGACTTCTCTTTCCATTCACTCATAAATACACAAATATGAAAACCACTCGATGCTTTCTGAGAATTACTCAACTGGGAAACTGGAAATAGGATGACAGTAGGCTTTGCTGGATGTCACAGACGTGTATTCGGTTATCGGATTCACGCACACATTTTCTTGGCCATTGAGAATATGTGGATTAGAAGTGACAGTTATTGTTAGGAGAATGTGAATTCATGTAGACTGAGAGGAAATGATGATGATGATGATGTGTGCAGGATATGACGAGGCAGTCAGGTTTCGTTTGTCCACGAATGAATTCGAAATGTAGCAGGCTTCAAGTGGTTCGGTTACTTCTGAAAGTGAAAGTGAAAGTGATTCAAGATATCAGCATGATGTAGAAGTGGTGAGGACCAGCATTCAGATCATATCCGCTATCAGTGATGAATAGACTGGACAGAAGATATAAGTGAAGTGAAATGTGACCATGTGGATGGCGCTGTCAGGTGTTAATTCTACTTGATTGGCCGAAATTGTACTCGAAAATAGTGCCTATTCATATTTACTTGCGATAATCAAGAAGACGTGAGTGCATGGATATGATGAGTCCATTTGCATGAATAATGTATACACAGATCACGACATCCTTTTATGTACATCTGTGCATCGGTGTGCGTAATCTCAAAGGGAATCCAATTTCAAATCGGGAATAGATTTTGTGTTAGTTTACCACACGTGATGACAGCAAACAGTGTGAATTCGATGGATTTGCGAACTTCGTCAGATAAACAGTATCTGGGTGAAGAAGACATTGTGGTGAATCCTTACTGTTGCAGATAGTATTCTCTGATTGACGTGTCTCTCTGTTGCGAGTTACAGATAGAAATGTGTGTAGTGCGTGTTGTGTGTGTGCGTGTGTGTGTGTGTGTATGTGAGTGGAGAGATGGCTATTCCAACTGGGAATCCATTTCTGGTACCTTTCATCTCGATGTGTCTGTCTCGACATCATCGCATGTTGTATTGGACAACTGTGAGACAATCGCTCGAAGTCATGACAGTACTCATGAGATCGAGAAGATTGACTGGGTAAGACATGTCACACACACCAACAATAATAAGAATTTGATGATCAGCATTCGACTAGTTCTCCTACTGAAATTGTCCGGAAATGAAGTGCATGGTTACGACCTACGCGAATGAACCGTGTAATCGTTCTTCATCTTGTTATGGAATCCATTTCCACTGTGACCTAGCGAATCTAATTCAGCTGAGATTCTAGTGAATATTATGCCTATTCTTTTTCTTACAACATGTACATTTCAGCGTTAGGGGTGACCCACATATACGAATACGTGTTCTTATTATCTCGGATGCAAACTCGGTGTGATGTATACGCTCATGGATTACGATACATGCACACAGGCGCTTGAAAATATTTGCAATATGCTAGAATGATATGGTGTGAAATGAACAAGTATAGCCTGGTGACATTTCCTCAGAGACCAAACTTCCTCACCTGAACCTTGAAATGAGACGCGTTCTGTTGGTTTGGAGTTCGTCAGCCTCATCTCCCCATAGTATAACATCCTCAACTGAGGGGTATTTGAATCCTACATCTCGGGAAATAACACCACGTCTAAATATAACACCTCGCAAAAGGAGATTTACAGTTATCAGCGTTGACAAAGACAGATGCTGATTACTTCAGGTAACGATAATTCTACCTCAAAAGTTCTCCGCCTCTTCAAGTCCGCATATCGTGACCACTACAACTAGCAACAATAAGAAAAACCTAATTACAAATTCTCAGCACGGTTTCACTAAATTCAAGTCTTGCGTTACTTATCATTTCCATTTCCTTCACCTTATCATTAGTAGCCGCAAGGCACGTAAAATCATCATTGATATGATTATGAGCAATAATTTATGCTCGAAACGTAATCAATTAAATAATACTGTGTCACTGTGCGCTTTATATCAAATAAACAAATCTAATATGGAACTACATTCTACCACAGTGCCCAAGTTTTTCACTTATATAAAATCATCACTGTTCTGTACTTTGATATATCAAAGGCATTTGACAAGGTACCGCATAGTATGCTTTATGACAAGATACAATAGATTGGCATTCATGACCCGTTACTTCGTTGGTTTAAATCGTTTCTTAGTGATCGTAGTCAAATAGTTAAAGTAAATTCTATTCAATCTAAACCTAGGCTCATAACTAGTGGAGTAATACAGGGTAGTGTCCTTGGGTCTTTGTTGTTTACAATTTTTATGAATAGTGTGTCCAGGTGCCTCACTGCAAGGGAAAAATTCCTGTACGCTGATGATCTTAAGGTTGTATACTTATGTCACACTCATGAACTAAGCAATACGCTATCTACTGCTCAACAAGAATTATGTGAAGTTGCTAAGTGGTGCGACGAGTTCCATCTCAAGTTCAACATTGACAAATATGGTTGGCTCAACATTGTCAGCGATAACCTAGACTTGTCCTTCGAAGTTTGTGAACAAAAGATACCTAGACGTTCTTCAGTGCTAGATCTTTGTCTTTGATATTCCAGTGAACAAACAGCTTGTATCACATCTAAGTCACGTAGACACCCTAAATACATCGTCCATAACTTTTATAGTACTGAATCAAGGGTCCCACTCTACAGAATGGCGATCAGTCCAATTTTAGAATACTGCCCGTTTATCCTGGAAGAGGCGACTTAGAATGAATCTTATATTTTACTAAAAATTACTTCGTAGGCAAATGAACTCAAGTGGCCCAGAAATTAAGATAGTTGTAACATCTACTCACTACATACGTAATCACAGTTTGTTAGCTGAAAATGAGTGTTGTAAGAGCAAATTGCAAGGTGACTTCTTCCTCAATAAGTTTTCTCGCATCTGGAATGGACTTCCTGAGGAAATACGTGCTGCAGGTTCATTATCTGTCTTTTGCTGCTCACAGATGATGAGTCTGTAGTAAACTCAGTTTGTTCTCTCGAATATATCGTTCAGTTTTTAGACATTGTACATTTTTGAGATGTTTGTCTACATCATGAATGCCTGAGAACTTTGCACACACTTTCTCCCAGCCTTGTACAGTTCACGCTTATTTTGGTTTCGGTTTGCCGATAAAGGTGCGCTTGAAATACAACGCTCGCATTATTTACGTTTTGGTCTTTTCAATACGCGTTGTTATTAATCGAATTACTAGAAACGGGAACTGGAACTACTGTATACACAAATTGAACGAATTCTCTCCCATCGCGGATCCATTAGAACCGATAGTTACGCTAATGGACCAAAAGTCTATCACTCGCTTAGCTATTATCTATACGTTCTGAGCTAATGAAAACATACTAGGACCTCTAAACGTGTAAAGGAAGGCGACCATACATTCAAACCCAATGGGTGTTTGATTACTAGCTCGTCCGGTTGGATTCTGCAGTTTGAAAGGTACAAATATATAGTCAGTGTTCCCTTTAAGTTTACTATTAAAAACCGATTCTCTAATAACTTGTTTCTCTCGGTTCATTCTAAGGACACAATCACAAAACATCTCTGTTTATTCACATGAGGTGACCTGATAATAGTATATTTCAGGTGAGTAGGACTCACCAACATCATGCTCACATGAATTGTATTCTTGTCCTACAGGGTTCTCATGCACGTAATCCGTTGTTACTCGAGGTTTCCAACAGGTTATTGGTTAGTGCTATAGATGGATGAGGGCAACTCGTGTGTGCACCAATCAGTGAATGCAAACGACTTGAAACAGCATTGTTGGAACTTCCAGTCTGTGATTACAGCGAGCGGAATGGAATATCACGAAAGACGAACTTGGAGGAGAGGAGTTCTTGTCTTCTCAGTGTCATTCGAAATATATGTAAACTTTAATTTATGCGTATGCATATACATCCCTCAAAATTATCGTGCATGGATTTCAACTTGACAGAGCCAATCATTCGTTATTTCATTATCCGTCCAGTCATCCACCTTCAGTGAAACAGCCTTGCATGAATCCTCCTCTATTATTGATCATACGGACAGTTGGAATATGCAGATCTAAAATTGACTTTCGGCACTTGCTGACCAGTAGACGTACTCGGTGCTCACACAATTCACTTCTCCAGAATCATAATACTTCCAATAATTTTCGAGCATCCCTATCACAAGTCAATTCTAAGGGAATGCATCTCGCAGTCACAAGTATTATCACTCAACTATCCCACCCATGGTTGACGTGTTGCACGACTGGATCATATGCACTAATTGATCATAGGAGACTAACCAATTTCATCTCGTCTAGTCCTGAGTGCAGACCGAATTCTCTGGATCATGAGATACGAAAAGCTCCCTAGGATTAGACAACATGAAACCAGGCACTTTCCAGTAGCCAGTCAATATATTTGGTCGATGTGCGTTCAAGCGCAGTTATGTGTTTCCTTCAACTAACAACTACTTTCATGGCCCTGCAAATAGTGTGCATGCAGTCGACGTAACAAATGATGTTCATGTGCACTCTGGTCACCTACCTGGCATAATTTCCATCCAATTTTGAAGAAATGCAGAGAGTGACTCACCAATCGTCTCAGCGACGTATCTATCGATGAAATTGAATTCAGGTGTTATTTTCTCACATTGATGGTAATAATAACAACGGTGAAAAGAGTGATGAGGGGTAACAGATATATGTCTGCTTGAATTCTCTTAGCACTGATAACCATAACTAGACGATGCTATAATCCACCACTGGTTGATAAAAGCTCTTCAACTGTTGTAAACACCACTGAATAAATAGCCTATTGTACACATTGATATAATATGAGTGTTTATGGTTGCAGTGATTCATTGTGTCGCTGTGTCAGGTCAGAGACATACGGTGTTGGGATAAGTAGTAGGTTTGGTAGTACGAAGTGGTTTACTAGGGAAAGTTCTATTCCATCACCATTCTTGCAATGAATTTTCTGGTGAGCTTCTAATAACAGAACTACATCATTTGATATTCACTTATTTTGAAGTGTGTTATGACTCTTGAACTTTCTCAATACAATTTTCTTTGTTGTATCTGTAGATCTGTTAGTTGAATGACCATTGAATGCGATCATAAAAAATCAAGAGAGCATAGTGTTTAGCAGTGTGCTTGACAGTGAGGCATCAGTTTCATCAGTCTGTCGAATCCTGGAAGTTATCACAAATGTTCAGTGCATGCCATCACCTTTTCTGTCATAAAGTTATCGGGGAGCCTCTAATGACAAAACTACATCATTTGATATTCACTATAACATGTAGAATCTGAAGGGAGGGATTCATGTAGGAACATCGTCAACGAACTAAGTTACGCTATAGCCGGATATCAACAATGCACTTCTACATTGCCAGTTCTATCTTTCAGAGCACTGACTATTATTGTTCCCAATGAAAAAGGCTGAAAATATGTGTCTAACCAGCGTTTTGCAGCCTGCCCTTCAATGTGTATTACTGCTGAAGAAGCATTAACTATTCATTGTGGGTTCCTGAAGCTGCACTTACGAGTGTACACTCCATACCACCATGTCCATATCTTGACAGTTTCAGTTCAGTAACCTATTTCTGAATTTCGTTATTATAAAGATGGGAAATAGGAGTTAGCCGAGTGAAATCAAACAATGACACACGTTTGCCATCTACTTTAATCCTCTTGTCACAATCACAGACTGGGAGTTCCAACAATGCTGTTTCAAGTCGTTTGCATTCACTGATTGGTTCACACACGAGTTGCCCTCATCCATCTATAGCATTAACCAATAACCTGTTGGAAACCTCGAGTAACAACGGATTACGTGCATGAGAACCCTGTAGGACAAGAATACAATTCATGTGAGCATGATGTTGGTGAGTCGTATTCACCTGAAATATACTATTATCAGGTCACCTCATGTGAATAAACAGAGATGTTTTGTGATTGTGTCCTTAGAATGCACCGAGAGAAAATGTATCACTTGTGAAATGTGAGCATGAGAACACCACTCAGCACTGGGGTTATTTTGAAGTGTGTTGCATTGCGTTGCACTGTGTTGTGTTGTGTTGTGACACTGAACCTTTGTGAATATAACTTTCTTCGTTGTATCTGTAGATGCGTTAGTTGAATAGCCATCGAATGTGATTGTACAAAATCAACACAGTGTAGTGCAACTACATTCTGATTGACGTTAGTGTTTGACAGTGTACTAGACAGTGAGCCATCAGTTTAACCAGTCTGTCGAATCCTGGAAGTCATCACCAATGTTGAGTGCATGAGTGGATGCTTTGTAAAGCAGAATATTCGAGCATGGCTTACGAGTATTCGAATTTAATGATTAGGTCCCGTTTATCCCATGTTACTGGAAGGTCTATAGAAATCCTCCACTTTATGGAAATCCTTCCACTGAAGTCAGTTTGTGATCTCGACAACCTGAGCATCGCCTTGTTGAGGAAAGTGAGGCAGAGGATATACCGATAAGTATCACGGCTACCACAGTGCATCCTGTATTATTCTCGTATTGTTAGACATATGCGCTTCTCAAATAACACTAACCACAGATGACTGCCATAACCAAACTGAATCACCTTACTCATACTAACTACACTGGAGTTAGAACCTGGTCGAAACTCTCCATTTCATCTATACAACATATGCCACGTGTGAAACACGAAAATATTACAATATGAGCACTGCAATTAAAAGACCAAAATGGTCACATGATTCATCTGGTCCCTACACACACCATGCGCATCTGTTTCTCTCAGACTCAGGACACCAGATTAAATAAAACATAGTGATTCTCAGGCTATGAAAACGAATATAAATCTGGTTAATTTCTCAATGTGTAGTTGAGACGTACAAACATGATGTTCATATTTTTTGCAGTTCTCATCTTCACAGATATTGCTGAGTGTTCCTTTGATAAATACTTCAAAGAGGACATGATTCATCTTCATAACGTGAACCGCAATTATCGAAACAGATGTGATATGAAGGATGTCGTTCCATCGGAGTTCAAACTGAAACCACTTGTAAGTTGATATGCTGAGGCAGTGTTTTCAGCTTGATGTAACAATGCAGATCAATCTTATGTTTTGAGTGGTTTTATGCAGAACAACATTTTCCATATGCTCATCTTCTATTGTATTTGCAAATAGATTTGGGATGATGATTTGGAAGAGGATGCTAGGCAGTGGGCGAAAAAGTGTCACAACTACACTGAGATATACGATGGATTACCTGTTGGCAAGTGGAAATCAGTTGGTAAGAATATAATGATAGTAGTAGAGAAATCCTAGTGAGTGAACATGTGAATGTTTACTCTAATCTCTGACATTTTCAGTGCCGTCACTGAATGGATGAAACAGGCGAAAAATTACAATCATTCAACAAATCGTTGCTTAACAGGAAATTCCTGTGACAGCTACAAGCGGGTAGGTAAACTTATCAATTCCTAGTGTGAATATCTGTCATAAAGTGAATCACTTTAATTACTCTCATCTACTTGCTTTCAGGTTATCAGCGACCAGACTACACACATAGGATGCGCATATCACAAATGTGAAAACTTTGGACCATGGGAGAACAACTTGGTAGTGTGCAACTACGCACCCAGGTGAGTCTTCACTTGTGAACACGACATGCTGACAACCCGTTGAGTTGTGAGATGGCACACCATTTCATTGCCAGTCATACCTGCAACTCGAGTACCACTGAAGTCTTGGTGTCTTCACTGCTGGCTGTCATGCTTCAGTAGTCTCCGATTCATGTTGTCCAGAGGTTACTCACTGGATAACATGTTCCTCGTGTGTCTGCACATAATGTGTGTGAGGCAGAGTTTCGTGGAGCGCAGTCTCCATTCGCAAATGGCATGCTCGACATCACATCAAACCACACACAACTGATTGTGATGGAGTCGATTTTGATGGAGTGTGATTCTGTGGATACACATTCCACTGATTACTACTGATCATAATGTGTGTGTGTGTGTGTGTGTGTTTGCAATGTGCATATGCGCTGCTTATACACAACTGTGTCATGTCACCAAAAACTCGTCGAGTGTGTGACTATATCAGACCACACGATGAAATCTACAGGTAGTAATGTTTGTTAATTTTCGTGGAACGAGAGTAGAATGTTTGCAGGATGCGGACAGATTTGAATGACATGAAATGCATTCAGTCGACAATATTCCGTCTGCACTTGACTGCATATCAACCCGTCATATGGAATGGTGTACAGGCGTGCTGTTGTGTGGTTTATATGAGTGTCTTGTGTGAGTTGGCCAGGTGAACAGTCAGCGCCGATCAAGAGAAGCATAAGGAAATCTTGAGTCTGTGAAAGGTGAGAGAATGGGGAATGAGAAAATGTCGGAATGTTCCTCCCAAATCCACGTATCCAGTCAGTCCAATGGACTGAGAAGGATGTGTCCAGTGGATTGTGGTGGGTAGTTGAATGGTTGGCGACACAGTAGACTATTGCAAGTAACAAATGCATCTCTGTTTTCTGGTGCACACCATTCACATACGACCTGCTGTTGAACGAGAGATGAGCTCGGTCACTCAGCGTCTGGATGTTTGAGTAGACTGATTGTCAGTGACACTGAACAAGGTGGTCTGTCAATGATGAAGCACTCATCACACGAGTAACTGTCTGCACATGGAGATATCGAGTCATTGAGAAAGTGGTGTATGTGAGCTGTGGCACAATGACAACACACATTACCGTGTGACACTCATGAGGCAGATAAATCGACTCGTATGTTATTGGGTGTCACAATTCCACACCTACACATTCTGATCCATTGTGAAATCGCATATCATCCTGTTACAATTCGCCTTGTAAACATACCAGATTGAACGCTACACAGCTTCACAGTCTCCAGTTCCTCAGTGTGTCCAGTGACACGATTGTGTTGTCAAACGACTCTCATCTACCTTATGGAGTAACAGAATTCATTGGGTGAGTTTAATCAACTGCTTCATAAACCAGTTGACTATGCATATCCGAATTCAAATATTGAAATATCTCACGTTTTATCTTCTGCAGCTTGATATGTGGAAGACCCTACACTGATGGGACAAATGGCAGATGCAAGGAGAAATCAAGACACTGATTAATGACAGGATTCACCACATACATTCTGCATGTTGCACATCGACTGATTGCTAGTGACTTCTCTTTCCATTCACTCATAAATACACAAATATGAAAACCACTCGATGCTTTCTGAGAATTACTCAACTGGGAAACTGGAAATAGGATGACAGTAGGCTTTGCTGGATGTCACAGACGTGTATTCGGTTATCGGATTCACGCACACATTTTCTTGGCCATTGAGAATATGTGGATTAGAAGTGACAGTTATTGTTAGGAGAATGTGAATTCATGTAGACTGAGAGGAAATGATGATGATGATGATGTGTGCAGGATATGACGAGGCAGTCAGGTTTCGTTTGTCCACGAATGAATTCGAAATGTAGCAGGCTTCAAGTGGTTCGGTTACTTCTGAAAGTGAAAGTGAAAGTGATTCAAGATATCAGCATGATGTAGAAGTGGTGAGGACCAGCATTCAGATCATATCCGCTATCAGTGATGAATAGACTGGACAGAAGATATAAGTGAAGTGAAATGTGACCATGTGGATGGCGCTGTCAGGTGTTAATTCTACTTGATTGGCCGAAATTGTACTCGAAAATAGTGCCTATTCATATTTACTTGCGATAATCAAGAAGACGTGAGTGCATGGATATGATGAGTCCATTTGCATGAATAATGTATACACAGATCACGACATCCTTTTATGTACATCTGTGCATCGGTGTGCGTAATCTCAAAGGGAATCCAATTTCAAATCGGGAATAGATTTTGTGTTAGTTTACCACACGTGATGACAGCAAACAGTGTGAATTCGATGGATTTGCGAACTTCGTCAGATAAACAGTATCTGGGTGAAGAAGACATTGTGGTGAATCCTTACTGTTGCAGATAGTATTCTCTGATTGACGTGTCTCTCTGTTGCGAGTTACAGATAGAAATGTGTGTAGTGCGTGTTGTGTGTGTGCGTGTGTGTGTGTGTGTGTATGTGAGTGGAGAGATGGCTATTCCAACTGGGAATCCATTTCTGGTACCTTTCATCTCGATGTGTCTGTCTCGACATCATCGCATGTTGTATTGGACAACTGTGAGACAATCGCTCGAAGTCATGACAGTACTCATGAGATCGAGAAGATTGACTGGGTAAGACATGTCACACACACCAACAATAATAAGAATTTGATGATCAGCATTCGACTAGTTCTCCTACTGAAATTGTCCGGAAATGAAGTGCATGGTTACGACCTACGCGAATGAACCGTGTAATCGTTCTTCATCTTGTTATGGAATCCATTTCCACTGTGACCTAGCGAATCTAATTCAGCTGAGATTCTAGTGAATATTATGCCTATTCTTTTTCTTACAACATGTACATTTCAGCGTTAGGGGTGACCCACATATACGAATACGTGTTCTTATTATCTCGGATGCAAACTCGGTGTGATGTATACGCTCATGGATTACGATACATGCACACAGGCGCTTGAAAATATTTGCAATATGCTAGAATGATATGGTGTGAAATGAACAAGTATAGCCTGGTGACATTTCCTCAGAGACCAAACTTCCTCACCTGAACCTTGAAATGAGACGCGTTCTGTTGGTTTGGAGTTCGTCAGCTTCATCTCCCCATAGTATAACATCCTCAACTGAGGGGTATTTGAATCCTACATCTCGGGAAATAACACCACGTCTAAATATAACACCTCGCAAAAGGAGATTTACAGTTATCAGCGTTGACAAAGACAGATGCTGATTACTTCAGGTAACGATAATTCTACCTCAAAAGTTCTCCGCCTCTTCAAGTCCGCATATCGTGACCACTACAACTAGCAACAATAAGAAAAACCTAATTACAAATTCTCAGCACGGTTTCACTAAATTCAAGTCTTGCGTTACTTATCATTTCCATTTCCTTCACCTTATCATTAGTAGCCGCAAGGCACGTAAAATCATCATTGATATGATTATGAGCAATAATTTATGCTCGAAACGTAATCAATTAAATAATACTGTGTCACTGTGCGCTTTATATCAAATAAACAAATCTAATATGGAACTACATTCTACCACAGTGCCCAAGTTTTTCACTTATATAAAATCATCACTGTTCTGTACTTTGATATATCAAAGGCATTTGACAAGGTACCGCATAGTATGCTTTATGACAAGATACAATAGATTGGCATTCATGACCCGTTACTTCGTTGGTTTAAATCGTTTCTTAGTGATCGTAGTCAAATAGTTAAAGTAAATTCTATTCAATCTAAACCTAGGCTCATAACTAGTGGAGTAATACAGGGTAGTGTCCTTGGGTCTTTGTTGTTTACAATTTTTATGAATAGTGTGTCCAGGTGCCTCACTGCAAGGGAAAAATTCCTGTACGCTGATGATCTTAAGGTTGTATACTTATGTCACACTCATGAACTAAGCAATACGCTATCTACTGCTCAACAAGAATTATGTGAAGTTGCTAAGTGGTGCGACGAGTTCCATCTCAAGTTCAACATTGACAAATATGGTTGGCTCAACATTGTCAGCGATAACCTAGACTTGTCCTTCGAAGTTTGTGAACAAAAGATACCTAGACGTTCTTCAGTGCTAGATCTTTGTCTTTGATATTCCAGTGAACAAACAGCTTGTATCACATCTAAGTCACGTAGACACCCTAAATACATCGTCCATAACTTTTATAGTACTGAATCAAGGGTCCCACTCTACAGAATGGCGATCAGTCCAATTTTAGAATACTGCCCGTTTATCCTGGAAGAGGCGACTTAGAATGAATCTTATATTTTACTAAAAATTACTTCGTAGGCAAATGAACTCAAGTGGCCCAGAAATTAAGATAGTTGTAACATCTACTCACTACATACGTAATCACAGTTTGTTAGCTGAAAATGAGTGTTGTAAGAGCAAATTGCAAGGTGACTTCTTCCTCAATAAGTTTTCTCGCATCTGGAATGGACTTCCTGAGGAAATACGTGCTGCAGGTTCATTATCTGTCTTTTGCTGCTCACAGATGATGAGTCTGTAGTAAACTCAGTTTGTTCTCTCGAATATATCGTTCAGTTTTTAGACATTGTACATTTTTGAGATGTTTGTCTACATCATGAATGCCTGAGAACTTTGCACACACTTTCTCCCAGCCTTGTACAGTTCACGCTTATTTTGGTTTCGGTTTGCCGATAAAGGTGCGCTTGAAATACAACGCTCGCATTATTTACGTTTTGGTCTTTTCAATACGCGTTGTTATTAATCGAATTACTAGAAACGGGAACTGGAACTACTGTATACACAAATTGAACGAATTCTCTCCCATCGCGGATCCATTAGAACCGATAGTTACGCTAATGGACCAAAAGTCTATCACTCGCTTAGCTATTATCTATACGTTCTGAGCTAATGAAAACATACTAGGACCTCTAAACGTGTAAAGGAAGGCGACCATACATTCAAACCCAATGGGTGTTTGATTACTAGCTCGTCCGGTTGGATTCTGCAGTTTGAAAGGTACAAATATATAGTCAGTGTTCCCTTTAAGTTTACTATTAAAAACCGATTCTCTAATAACTTGTTTCTCTCGGTTCATTCTAAGGACACAATCACAAAACATCTCTGTTTATTCACATGAGGTGACCTGATAATAGTATATTTCAGGTGAGTAGGACTCACCAACATCATGCTCACATGAATTGTATTCTTGTCCTACAGGGTTCTCATGCACGTAATCCGTTGTTACTCGAGGTTTCCAACAGGTTATTGGTTAGTGCTATAGATGGATGAGGGCAACTCGTGTGTGCACCAATCAGTGAATGCAAACGACTTGAAACAGCATTGTTGGAACTTCCAGTCTGTGATTACAGCGAGCGGAATGGAATATCACGAAAGACGAACTTGGAGGAGAGGAGTTCTTGTCTTCTCAGTGTCATTCGAAATATATGTAAACTTTAATTTATGCGTATGCATATACATCCCTCAAAATTATCGTGCATGGATTTCAACTTGACAGAGCCAATCATTCGTTATTTCATTATCCGTCCAGTCATCCACCTTCAGTGAAACAGCCTTGCATGAATCCTCCTCTATTATTGATCATACGGACAGTTGGAATATGCAGATCTAAAATTGACTTTCGGCACTTGCTGACCAGTAGACGTACTCGGTGCTCACACAATTCACTTCTCCAGAATCATAATACTTCCAATAATTTTCGAGCATCCCTATCACAAGTCAATTCTAAGGGAATGCATCTCGCAGTCACAAGTATTATCACTCAACTATCCCACCCATGGTTGACGTGTTGCACGACTGGATCATATGCACTAATTGATCATAGGAGACTAACCAATTTCATCTCGTCTAGTCCTGAGTGCAGACCGAATTCTCTGGATCATGAGATACGAAAAGCTCCCTAGGATTAGACAACATGAAACCAGGCACTTTCCAGTAGCCAGTCAATATATTTGGTCGATGTGCGTTCAAGCGCAGTTATGTGTTTCCTTCAACTAACAACTACTTTCATGGCCCTGCAAATAGTGTGCATGCAGTCGACGTAACAAATGATGTTCATGTGCACTCTGGTCACCTACCTGGCATAATTTCCATCCAATTTTGAAGAAATGCAGAGAGTGACTCACCAATCGTCTCAGCGACGTATCTATCGATGAAATTGAATTCAGGTGTTATTTTCTCACATTGATGGTAATAATAACAACGGTGAAAAGAGTGATGAGGGGTAACAGATATATGTCTGCTTGAATTCTCTTAGCACTGATAACCATAACTAGACGATGCTATAATCCACCACTGGTTGATAAAAGCTCTTCAACTGTTGTAAACACCACTGAATAAATAGCCTATTGTACACATTGATATAATATGAGTGTTTATGGTTGCAGTGATTCATTGTGTCGCTGTGTCAGGTCAGAGACATACGGTGTTGGGATAAGTAGTAGGTTTGGTAGTACGAAGTGGTTTACTAGGGAAAGTTCTATTCCATCACCATTCTTGCAATGAATTTTCTGGTGAGCTTCTAATAACAGAACTACATCATTTGATATTCACTTATTTTGAAGTGTGTTATGACTCTTGAACTTTCTCAATACAATTTTCTTTGTTGTATCTGTAGATCTGTTAGTTGAATGACCATTGAATGCGATCATAAAAAATCAAGAGAGCATAGTGTTTAGCAGTGTGCTTGACAGTGAGGCATCAGTTTCATCAGTCTGTCGAATCCTGGAAGTTATCACAAATGTTCAGTGCATGCCATCACCTTTTCTGTCATAAAGTTATCGGGGAGCCTCTAATGACAAAACTACATCATTTGATATTCACTATAACATGTAGAATCTGAAGGGAGGGATTCATGTAGGAACATCGTCAACGAACTAAGTTACGCTATAGCCGGATATCAACAATGCACTTCTACATTGCCAGTTCTATCTTTCAGAGCACTGACTATTATTGTTCCCAATGAAAAAGGCTGAAAATATGTGTCTAACCAGCGTTTTGCAGCCTGCCCTTCAATGTGTATTACTGCTGAAGAAGCATTAACTATTCATTGTGGGTTCCTGAAGCTGCACTTACGAGTGTACACTCCATACCACCATGTCCATATCTTGACAGTTTCAGTTCAGTAACCTATTTCTGAATTTCGTTATTATAAAGATGGGAAATAGGAGTTAGCCGAGTGAAATCAAACAATGACACACGTTTGCCATCTACTTTAATCCTCTTGTCACAATCACAGACTGGGAGTTCCAACAATGCTGTTTCAAGTCGTTTGCATTCACTGATTGGTTCACACACGAGTTGCCCTCATCCATCTATAGCATTAACCAATAACCTGTTGGAAACCTCGAGTAACAACGGATTACGTGCATGAGAACCCTGTAGGACAAGAATACAATTCATGTGAGCATGATGTTGGTGAGTCGTATTCACCTGAAATATACTATTATCAGGTCACCTCATGTGAATAAACAGAGATGTTTTGTGATTGTGTCCTTAGAATGCACCGAGAGAAAATGTATCACTTGTGAAATGTGAGCATGAGAACACCACTCAGCACTGGGGTTATTTTGAAGTGTGTTGCATTGCGTTGCACTGTGTTGTGTTGTGTTGTGACACTGAACCTTTGTGAATATAACTTTCTTCGTTGTATCTGTAGATGCGTTAGTTGAATAGCCATCGAATGTGATTGTACAAAATCAACACAGTGTAGTGCAACTACATTCTGATTGACGTTAGTGTTTGACAGTGTACTAGACAGTGAGCCATCAGTTTAACCAGTCTGTCGAATCCTGGAAGTCATCACCAATGTTGAGTGCATGAGTGGATGCTTTGTAAAGCAGAATATTCGAGCATGGCTTACGAGTATTCGAATTTAATGATTAGGTCCCGTTTATCCCATGTTACTGGAAGGTCTATAGAAATCCTCCACTTTATGGAAATCCTTCCACTGAAGTCAGTTTGTGATCTCGACAACCTGAGCATCGCCTTGTTGAGGAAAGTGAGGCAGAGGATATACCGATAAGTATCACGGCTACCACAGTGCATCCTGTATTATTCTCGTATTGTTAGACATATGCGCTTCTCAAATAACACTAACCACAGATGACTGCCATAACCAAACTGAATCACCTTACTCATACTAACTACACTGGAGTTAGAACCTGGTCGAAACTCTCCATTTCATCTATACAACATATGCCACGTGTGAAACACGAAAATATTACAATATGAGCACTGCAATTAAAAGACCAAAATGGTCACATGATTCATCTGGTCCCTACACACACCATGCGCATCTGTTTCTCTCAGACTCAGGACACCAGATTAAATAAAACATAGTGATTCTCAGGCTATGAAAACGAATATAAATCTGGTTAATTTCTCAATGTGTAGTTGAGACGTACAAACATGATGTTCATATTTTTTGCAGTTCTCATCTTCACAGATATTGCTGAGTGTTCCTTTGATAAATACTTCAAAGAGGACATGATTCATCTTCATAACGTGAACCGCAATTATCGAAACAGATGTGATATGAAGGATGTCGTTCCATCGGAGTTCAAACTGAAACCACTTGTAAGTTGATATGCTGAGGCAGTGTTTTCAGCTTGATGTAACAATGCAGATCAATCTTATGTTTTGAGTGGTTTTATGCAGAACAACATTTTCCATATGCTCATCTTCTATTGTATTTGCAAATAGATTTGGGATGATGATTTGGAAGAGGATGCTAGGCAGTGGGCGAAAAAGTGTCACAACTACACTGAGATATACGATGGATTACCTGTTGGCAAGTGGAAATCAGTTGGTAAGAATATAATGATAGTAGTAGAGAAATCCTAGTGAGTGAACATGTGAATGTTTACTCTAATCTCTGACATTTTCAGTGCCGTCACTGAATGGATGAAACAGGCGAAAAATTACAATCATTCAACAAATCGTTGCTTAACAGGAAATTCCTGTGACAGCTACAAGCGGGTAGGTAAACTTATCAATTCCTTATCAATTAACAAACATTACTACCTGCAGATTTCATCGTGTGGTCTGATATAGTCACACACTCGACGAGTTTTTGGTGACATGACACAGTTGTGTATAAGCAGCGCATATGCACATTGCAAACACACACACACACACACATTATGATCAGTAGTAATCAGTGGAATGTGTATCCACAGTATCACACTCCATCAAAATCGACTCCATCACAATCAGTTGTGTGTGGTTTGATGTGATGTCGAGCATGCCATTTGCGAATGGAGACTGCGCTCCACGAAACTCTGCCTCACACACATTATGTGCAGACACACGAGGAACATGTTATCCAGTGAGTAACCTCTGGACAACATGAATCGGAGACTACTGAAGCATGACAGCCAGCAGTGAAGACACCAAGACTTCAGTGGTACTCGAGTTGCAGGTATGACTGGCAATGAAATGGTGTGCCATCTCACAACTCAACGGGTTGTCAGCATGTCGTGTTCACAAGTGAAGACTCACCTGGGTGCGTAGTTGCACACTACCAAGTTGTTCTCCCATGGTCCAAAGTTTTCACATTTGTGATATGCGCATCCTATGTGTGTAGTCTGGTCGCTGATAACCTGAAAGCAAGTAGATGAAGTGAATTGATTTACGTGGAAATCTTGGGCATCACGATAATATTTTATTGCCTATCAGTTTTATTGATTTGATGTATGTGATATAGTGATGTATTATTGCTTACAGGTTGACGTTTCGGGCATAAATTATCGCTCATATGCATCCCAATGTAATGAGATCACTTTCGACATTTGATTTTGATAGTTGTATCACCTCATATGACTTGTTTCTACTAGTATTAAAATGTTCCATATCTCTGGTATAGGTGTTGAGTCATTTCTATTACATGTGTTGGGTGATGATTCGATGAATAAAGATTCAGTAATGAATCCCAGGTGAAATATTTATGGATAGTTGGGAGAAGAAAGTTTTACAAACGTTTAGTCCTGCACCAAAGGTATGGTGGCAATATGTGGTTGACACATTCACTGCGTTGAAATCGGAACATATCGACAATTTCGTCACACATATAAACTCTGTAGTTGGTGCAATCCAATTCACTCAGGGTAGAAATCGAACAAGGAAGATTGCCTATGTTGGATTGCAGGATGAAAACAAGAACAGACGGTGGTTTGGATACTACTGTCTACAGAAAACCGATACATTCCAATAGGTATGTAGACTTCAAATCATCTCATCCAACATCATTTAAGGCAGGCTTTGTCAAATGTCTAAGTGATAGAGCTAGAAAACTGACTAGTCGGTGCAAGGACCTAAACAAGGAATTGAAACACTTAAAAGAAGCACTAATGGTTAATAATTAGCCTCCACAGTTTATTAAGAAATTTGTACAAACACACGAGAACAGAATTAGTAACAGTCACACGAGTGCGACTAATAACGACAACACGAGTAGAAAGGAGTTCACAGCCTCCATTGTATTACCCTATAAGGAGGGTACCTCAGAAACTTTACGTAGAATCCTCAACAGAGCTAAAATTAGGATACCATTTAAACCTACAAACTCATTCAGAGACAAGCTTTGTCGGCTGAAGGATCCGACAGTACCAGTTAGGTAAAATAATCTAATCTATCAAATTCCATGTAATGACTGTGAGGTCAAGTACATAGGTCAAACTAACCAGTCGACGTCAGTTAGAATAGCTGAACATAGGAATTTAGATAAATATAGAATGACAGACCTCAATCAGATCAATAATCTAGAAAAGCACTTACATATTGCAATAGATGAATTAACACACAACCACAAAATAGGGTGGGATAAAGCCACTGTACTTAAGTTCAATATAATTAGATGGAGAGACGAATTGATTACTCAGTCTTCATTCATCGAATCAACACGCAACACATGTAATAGATATGACTCAACACCTACACCTATACCAGAGATATGGAATATTTTAATACTGATAGAAACAAGTCACATGAGGTGATATAACTATCAAAATCAAATGTCGAAAGTGATCTGATGACATTGGGATGCATATGAGTGATAAATTATGCTCGAAACGTCATCAAGTAAATAATACTATATCATTGTGTGTCATCAATCAAATAAACAAATCTAATATGGAACTGAGATGAATTGAAGTGATTCGCTGCATGAAAGATATTTACAGCAGTAGCTTGTTTGTTGCACATAATTTACAATGTTTACCTACCCTCTTGTAGCTGTCACAGGAATTTCCTGTTAAGCAACGATTTGTTGAATGATTGTAATTTTTGGCCTGGTTTGCCCATTGAGTGACGGCACTAAAATAACAGGGATTGGAGCAAAAAATCAAAAGTTCACTCACTCTAACACCTCTGCCACTATCATTATATTCTTACCAACTGATTTCCACTTGCCAACAGGTAATCCATCGTATATCTCAGTGTAGTTGTGACACTTTTTCGCCCACTGCCTAGCATCCTCTTCCAAATCATCATCCCAAATCTATTTGCAAATACAATAGAAGATGAGCATATGGAAAATGTTGTTCTGCATAAAACCACTCAAAACATAAGATTGATCTGCATTGTTACATCAAGCTGAAAACACTGCCTCAGCATATCAACTTACAAGTGGTTTCAGTTTGAACTCCGATGGAACGACATCCTTCATATCACATCTGTTTCGATAATTGCGGTTCACGTTATGAAGATGAATCATGTCCTCTTTGAAGTATTTATCAAAGGAACACTCAGCAATATCTGTGAAGATGAGAACTGCAAAAAATATGAACATCATGTTTGTACGTCTCAACTACACATTGAGAAATTAACCAGATTTATATTCGTTTTCATAGCCTGAGAATCACTATGTTTTATTTAATCTGGTGTCCTGAGTCTGAGAGAAACAGATGCGCATGGTGTGTGTAGGGACCAGATGAATCATGTGACCATTTTGGTCTTTTAATTGCAGTGCTCATATTGTAATATTTTCGTGTTTCACACGTGGCATATGTTGTATAGATGAAATGGAGAGTTTCGACCAGGTTCTAACTCCAGTGTAGTTAGTATGAGTAAGGTGATTCAGTTTGGTTATGGCAGTCATCTGTGGTTAGTGTTATTTGAGAAGCGCATATGTCTAACAATACGAGAATAATACAGGATGCACTGTGGTAGCCGTGATACTTATCGGTATATCCTCTGCCTCACTTTCCTCAACAAGGCGATGCTCAGGTTGTCGAGATCACAAACTGACTTCAGTGGAAGGATTTCCATAAAGTGGAGGATTTCTATAGACCTTCCAGTAACATGGGATAAACGGGACCTAATCATTAAATTCGAATACTCGTAAGCCATGCTCGAATATTCTGCTTTACAAAGCATCCACTCATGCACTCAACATTGGTGATGACTTCCAGGATTCGACAGACTGGTTAAACTGATGGCTCACTGTCTAGTACACTGTCAAACACTAACGTCAATCAGAATGTAGTTGCACTACACTGTGTTGATTTTGTACAATCACATTCGATGGCTATTCAACTAACGCATCTACAGATACAACGAAGAAAGTTATATTCACAAAGGTTCAGTGTCACAACACAACACAACACAGTGCAACGCAATGCAACACACTTCAAAATAACCCCAGTGCTGAGTGGTGTTCTCATGCTCACATTTCACAAGTGATACATTTTCTCTCGGTGCATTCTAAGGACACAATCACAAAACATCTCTGTTTATTCACATGAGGTGACCTGATAATAGTATATTTCAGGTGAATACGACTCACCAACATCATGCTCACATGAATTGTATTCTTGTCCTACAGGGTTCTCATGCACGTAATCCGTTGTTACTCGAGGTTTCCAACAGGTTATTGGTTAATGCTATAGATGGATGAGGGCAACTCGTGTGTGAACCAATCAGTGAATGCAAACGACTTGAAACAGCATTGTTGGAACTCCCAGTCTGTGATTGTGACAAGAGGATTAAAGTAGATGGCAAACGTGTGTCATTGTTTGATTTCACTCGGCTAACTCCTATTTCCCATCTTTATAATAACGAAATTCAGAAATAGGTTACTGAACTGAAACTGTCAAGATATGGACATGGTGGTATGGAGTGTACACTCGTAAGTGCAGCTTCAGGAACCCACAATGAATAGTTAATGCTTCTTCAGCAGTAATACACATTGAAGGGCAGGCTGCAAAACGCTGGTTAGACACATATTTTCAGCCTTTTTCATTGGGAACAATAATAGTCAGTGCTCTGAAAGATAGAACTGGCAATGTAGAAGTGCATTGTTGATATCCGGCTATAGCGTAACTTAGTTCGTTGACGATGTTCCTACATGAATCCCTCCCTTCAGATTCTACATGTTATAGTGAATATCAAATGATGTAGTTCTGTTATTAGAAGCTCATCAGAAAATTCATTGCAAGAATGGTGATGGAATAGAATTTTCCCTGGTAATCCACTTTGTACCATCAAACCTACTACTTATCCCAACACCGTATGTCTCTGACCTGACCCAGCGACACAATGAATCACTACAACCATAAACACTCATAATATGTCAATGTGTACAATAGGCTATTTATTCAGTGGTGTTTATAACAGATGAGGAGCTTGCATCAACTGACGGTTCATAATAATGTTGTCTTGTTATTTGACTATAAACACGAGTATTCAATGCAGAGGATAAACAGCTGTAACCGTTAGTCACGGTTTATATGACAGATCTAATTTTTATTTTCATCTTAACGAAAATATCAAGTGAATTCGGTTTCACTGAAGGATACACCACTGAGATGATTGATGAATCGGCCTCTCCATTTCTTAAAAATGTGGTTGAAAATGTGGCAGATGAATGAATCTAATGGATATGATTATGACTGATAACCTTTTGTGCATGCTAACTATTTGGACAAGTATAAAAGCAGTTTGTAGTTGAACAAGCAACACAGCTAAACTTGAAATTACTTCGAATTAACTCACGGGTATGTCAGTGGAGGACAAGGATTCTCATGTTCTGGGGAACATTTCGGATCTCATGATAC